TGTGTGTGTGTGTGTGTGTGTGTGTGTGTGTGTGTGTGTGTGTGTGTGGTGGTGGTGGTGGTGGTGTTGATTTTGGGGGGCAGGGTCTTTCTTTTTGTGAGAGACAGAGTCTCACTGTGTTGCCTAGGCTGGAATGGAATGGCTATTCACAGGCACAGCCATTAGCACACTACAGCCTTGAACTCCAGGGCTCAGGTGATCCTACTGCCTCAGCCTCCTGAATGACTGGGACTACAGGCACATGCCATTGCACCTGGCTTAGTCATTCTGGTAGGCCTGTAGTTCCATTTTTTTCTTTAGTACACAAAAATCAGTGAAATCTTTGGGTTTAATAAACCCATCGATTCATTGATTGCCACTATTTTTAATGCTGATGTGGTATTTAGAAGTAATTTGCTTTGTGTGAGTTCAGTTAAGACTTTAATTTAGCCATTAAGTACAGTTATGCACTGCATAATGACATTTCCGTCAATGATGGACCAAATATACAACTGTAGTCCCTTAACATAATGGAGCTGAAAAATTCCTTTTGCCTAGTGACGTCTTGATGATCCTGACCCTGTGTAGGCCTAGGCTAATGTGTTTGTCGTCTCTTCATTTATAACAAAAAAGTTTAAAAAGTAAAAAATAAAATGTTTTAAACATAGAAAAAAGTTTGTAGAATACAGTATAAAGAAAAAAAGTATTTTTGTGCCGCCATACAATATGTTTATGTTTTTAGCTCTTATTATAAAAGACTCAAAATGTTTAAACAAAAAGCGTATAAGGTAAAAGTTGCAGCAAGCTAAGGTTATTGAAGAAAGAACATTTTTAAATAAATTTAGTGTAGCCTAAGTATGCAATGTTTAAAAGTTCACTACTCACTCACTGACTCACCCAGAGGAACTTCAAATCCTGCAAGCTTCATTCATAAGTGCCCTATACAAATATACTGTTTTTTATTCTTTATATCATGTTTTTACTGTGCCTTTTCTATGTTTAGATTCACAAATACTTAATATCATGTTAAAATTGCCTACAGTATTCGATGCAGTCACGTGCTGTAAATGTTTATAGCCCAGATGTGTAATAGGCTATACCATCTAGGTTTATATAAGTACACTCTATGATGTTTGTACAAGAATTAAGTCATCAGTAACACATTTCTCAGACTGTATCCCCATGGTGAAGTAACATGTGACAGTCAATTCATGTGGCCCTCATCAGCCTACTTCAGATCACAAGCATAATCTATTATGATTTTGATGATCGCACTCTTCAGAGTAAGGTTTTTTGGGGAATAAGGAGAAATAGGAAGAACTGTTTACATTTCCTATAGCCAGAGTGATCATGCATCCTGATTTGGTAAGATTATTAATAACATTCCCTTTTACTCTCAGAAGCATCATGCTTAGATTACCCAATAGGGGGACCAAGCAAATCAGTCTTTTAGAAAATGGAATTTGGACAAGGGAAAAGAGAGAGAGAAATAAAATGCAATATATGACTGTATTTGAAATAAAGAAATAACAGCATTAGATTATTTATAAACATGCTGGACTTGCTGGACTTCAGTGTCAGTATTGACCCTATGGACCCCATTGTTGTGGAAATAAGTTTTATATGGGGTCAGCCTTTGTTATTTTAAGTGTTGACCTTGGGTCTTTTAACCTGTTTAGAGCTAAAGGCCCTATCTCTAAAAGGAGAGAGTTAAAATAGATACCTAAAGTCTTTTCAACTCTAAAACAGTCTTAAGCAGCAGTGAGAAGTATAAGAAGATTTTCTTTCTTAGAGTATCTTTTTAGCATTCATTGATCCCACCTACTGAGCTCTTTTCTGGTATTACTCGCTGTTTTTCTTCATACCAAAATAAATGTAGCTCTTGCTGGGGTTGGTGGAAAGGGGGAAAATATAAAAATGTGTAGTAGGTATTTTTCTGGTGCTAATTTACCTGGGTTTTTTCTTCTTTTCTTTTCTTTTTGGTTTTGTTTTGTTTAAGTATACGTGCAGTTACTTAACCATTTAAACACATAATCTACTTTTAAGGTAATCTTAGTAGTGATTTAAATCATAGGTCCTGGCCAGGTGCGATGGCTCACACCTGTAATCCCAGCACTTTGGGAGGCTGAGGCGGGCAGATCATGAGGTCAGGAGTTTGAGACCAGCCTGGCCAACATTGTGAAACCCCGTCTCTACTAAAAATACCAAAATTAGCCAGGTGTGGTGGCACGCACCTGTAGTCCCAGCTACTTTGGAGACTGAGGCAGGAAAATTGCCTGAACCCAGGAAGTAGAGGTTGCAGTGAGCCGAGACCGCACCTTTGCACTCCAGCCTGGGTGACAGAGCGAGACTCTGTCTCAAAAAATTGTCAATCAATCAATCGATGAAGGTTGTAAGCAATTTACAGCCTAGAGAAAAGTGTTTTCTTCGGCAGAATAATCTTATTTTTCACAGGAGTGGAATTATTTTTGATCAAATTGTAAAATTTCAGTGAAATGTAGAGGAATTCCACCTAAAAGATTTCATTGTAATTAAAATGCCTGCCTCAAATTATAAATTTTTCACTTCTTTTTTAACAGGAAATAGAGAAGAGAAGAAGAGCAGAGGAATCATGTAAAAATGCAAGGACAGAACTTAAGAAAAAATCCCACTTTGGAGGACCAGATTATGAAGTATGATTTTATATTTTGATCTTAGAGAAACACATAAGTAATGTCTATCACAAACGTGACTTTTTAATAATACTTTTGTCACCTCTAAATATTCTAAATATATAATTTGTCCTCAGCATTTATGTTAATTCAGTATATTTTGTGATATATAAATGTGTGGCATAGTCAAATATATATTTCTTACTGCGCACAAAGTTTAGGCATTAAAAGGCTTAATATTAGTCCTGTTTACTTCATAGAACAAATGTGTATCTTCCCTGTAAAGATGATCATTTTTAATGTTATCCGCTTATTTTTTAACATAAAAGCAAGCTATAAAGGAAAAAATCAGTATTTTACAGAGAGAAGATTTTAAGTCTATACTATACTGTGAGATCTTATCCATAGACAAACATAAACTGTTCTAATTGCCTTTATGTTTGGAAATGTCTGAAACTAGCTTTTTTTCTCCTTCTCCATGTATATACACACATACATTAAAATTTTATAAGCTATCTTTCTGTATTTCTTAAGGGAAAAAAATGTATAAGAAATATATTTGGTAATTGTCATTAAACAATGTTGAGGCTAGGCACAGTGGCTCACATCCCAGCACTTTGGGAGGCCAAGGCAGGAGGATTACTTGAGGCCAGGAGTTCAAGACCAACCTAGACAGCATAGCAAGACTTCATCCATTTCTACAAAATAAAATACAAAAAATATCTGGTTGTAATGGCATATACCTATAATCCCAGCTACTGAGGAGGCCAAGGCCCAGAAGCCCAAGACTGCAGTGAGCTATGATTGCACCCCTCCACTTCAGGCTGGGTGACAGTTGGAGACCTTGTCTCTTAAAAAAAAAAGTGTTGGCTGGCGTGGCAGCTCACGCCTGTAATCCCAGCACTTTGGGAAGCAGAGGTGGGCAGATCACAAGGTCACAAGTCAAGACCAGCCTGGCCAATATGGTGAAACCCCGTCTCCACTAAAAATACAAAAATTAGCCAGGCATGGTGGCAAACACCTGTAGTCCCGGCTACTCGGGAGGCTGAGGCAGGAGAAACACTTGAATCTGGGAGGCAAAGGTTGCATTGAGCTGAGATCGTGCCACTTCACTCCAGCCTGGGTGACAAAGCAAGGCTCCGTCTCAAAAAAAAAAAAAAAAAAAAAACAGTGTTGATATTCCTGAAATGAGCAGTTTAAAAATGGGGTATCAAAGACTATCATTGCAGTGGAACAGAAGAATAAAATAGTTGTAGTTATATTTATGAAAACAGAAGAAAAATTTCTTAACAATATATGGTACAGTTTATTACCTACCAGCAATATGTAAGTATAATTTGTATACATATTCATCCCTGCTTCCATCAACACAGATTTTTTCTTTTTTTTTCCAGGGGGAGAGGACAAGGGTGGAGGGAAGAGGGGCCTTGTGCTAGGTACCTGCATTTACTAGTTTCAAAGCCAAAAAATTGCCTTATGTATGTGACTGAGCATTTTAAAAATTATGTTTAACAGACATTTTTTTTTTAATTTTACATTGGAAGTACACATGCATGTTTGTTACATGAATATATTGCATACTGGTAGAGATTAGGCTTCTAGGGACTACAGGCACGTGCCATCATGCCTAGCTAAGTTTTGTATTTTTAGTAGAGACAGGGTTTCACCATGTTAGCCAGGATGGTCTCAATCTCTTGACCTCATGATCTGCCCGCCTCAGCCTCCCAAAGTGCTGGGATTACAGGCTTGAGCCACCGCGCCCGGCCGAGGATTTTTATTTCTGTAACTGGTTACAGGGAGAAAGGCTGAAAATTATCACTGGACCAACTCCAAATTACAAAGTTTTCCAGAGCTTATATACCTTCCAAGCTATATGTCTACCTGTAAGTGTGCATTCATCTAAAGATATAAGTGATTAACTTCTTTTAATCTAAAACTAAGATCTGAGTCCTGAAGACCTTCCCCTGGAGACTTAGTAAAGTACTGAGATGATTACCCTTGTCTCCTACTAAATCATATAGGTTGGAGGAGTTCCTTCAGACCCCTAATAAACTTGTTTGTGGAGGCCTAGGGAGTTTCTTCAGACTCACAATAAAACTTGAAACCTATGTGGATTCTGTTAGGAATTCCTTAGTTACTTTGTCATGCCTTAAGTCCCAGGAAAGGCCTAGGCAAAACTCTTGATAGACTTTTGTTACACCCCAGCCTTTGTATAAGGGCACTGGCTTTTAATATTTAACTTAACCACTCAGTCAGTACTGAAATGGTTGTTAGTGAGACCTGGCCTGTGACAAGTTAACTCTGGATAATAGTCTCCAGCTCCATCCATGTTGCTGCAAAAGATATGATTTCGTTCTTTTTTATGGCTGCCATGTTTCTTTAATGATTAACTTGGCCATGTCCTTTGGTTGTTTTACTAGGATTTTTTTCCCCCATTTTGATTTAGAAGATGTATAGAATTTGCTTTAAAAAAAAATTTTTTTTTTCTTTCATAGTTTAAAAAGTCTGGTAGATTTTGCCATATAAAAGTTTTTTTGTTTTTTTTTTTTTTTAGACAGAGTCTCACTCTGTTGCCAGGCTGGAGTGCAGTAGCGCGATCTTGGCTTACTGCAACCTCCGCCTCCCAGATTAAAGCAATTCTCCTGTCTCAGCCTCGCAAGTAGCTGGGACTACATGCGCCTGGCTCCACACCCAGCTAATTTTTGTATTTTTAGTAGAGAAGGGGTTTCACCATGTTGGCCAGATGGTCTCAATCTCTTGACCTCGTGATCTGCCTGCCTTGGCCTCCCAAAGTACTGGGATTACAGGTTTGAGCCACCATACCTGGCCTGCCATATAAAAGTTTTAAACCTTCACGTAATTAACTTCTCAGTCATTTGGTACACTTTTCTCTACATTTGGTATCATGCTTAGAAAGGCATTTTCTACTTTGAATAATTATTTATTTTTTCTCATTTTTTATTTGCCAGTGGTGTCATCTAAATATATTAATACATCTGGAGTTTTTAAAATAATGGTATGATATAGAAACCTATTTTATTCCACTAGCATTTGTTGAATAAACATCCTTTTATTCACCTATTTGAAATACACTTTACTCTTTCTTAGTGAAGAAACTGGTTAAGGGTACTCTATATTTTTCTCACTGAGTTAAATTAAATATACAATTCTTATATAAACTGGGGCCTGTTTTTATACTTCCTCTTCTTGCTTTTGGAGTTTCGAACCATCTTTCTTTGTATTGATATTATAGTCGTATGGGTTTTAGACACTGATCCAAACTATGACTTTCTTTGGTTATAATCAGACATTCATGGTGTTCTAATTATAAAAAAAGTTGAAGTGTTTCTGATATCTATAGCCTCAGAAATTACTTTATAATCTTAAATTCCTTCCGACTTACCATAATATAGGGCACTGTACTAGGCATGGAGAATACAGCAAGGAACGAGGCTTTCAAGGATCCTGCCTAAGGGCCCTACCCGAATGTATAATGGCAATAAAGACTAGTTAATAGGCAATTATCATAATGTATGTTATGAAACAGTTTTAACACAGAGAAGGTGTTGAATCAGAGACATCTTCCGGGAGGAAAGAACATCTTAGCAGAAACCTTAAGAATAAGTAAATTCAACCAGCTAATCACGTGCCAAAAGAAAAACAAAAACAAAAAAAGAATGAGTAAATTGAGTAGAGAGTGTTTTCTGGAGGTCAGAAGCAAAAGAGTATTTTGAAATACTTCAGGGGGGCTGAAAGTAGTTCTCTTTGGAAGGTAGAGCCTCCACAAATTGAGAGGAAAGAATGGTAAGAGACTGACTGGAAGGATCAACAAGAATTATTTCAGATCCTGAGATAATAGGTTTGCTTTTTGTTTTTTATTTTGTGTTTTGAGACAGAATCTCACACTGTCACCCAGGCTGTAGTGCAGTGCCATGATCTTGGCTCACTTCAATCTCCACCTCCTGGATTCAAGCAATTCTCCTGCCTCAGCCTCCCAAGAAGCTGGCATTACAGGCGCGTACTACCACGCCTGGCTAATTTTTTTTCTTGTATTTTTAGTAGAGGTGGGGTTTCACCATGTTGGCCAGGATGGTCTCAATCTCCTGACCTCATGATCCACCCGCCTCAGCCTCCCAAAGTGCAGGGATTTCAGGGAAACAATAGGTTTTAAGCAAGAAAATGACATTTTCAGATTTACAGTTTAGAAAAATCATTCTCCCTGCAGTAGAAGAATGGATTGAAGGTAACAATTGTGACTAGGGGCTTGGAGACTTTTCGTATAATACAGAGGAGAGTTGAAGGTGGCCTAAATTAGAGTCAAAGGAGGAGGAATATATAGGCACTGACAAATTAGATACAGTAATCACCCCATATCAGTGGCTGAGGGGGATACATTGCAAGACCCTCCCCCCCAGTAACTGCACATAGTACTGAACCCTGTATACACAATAATTTTTCCTGTGTGTATGTACCTGTGATAAAGTTTAATTTTTTTATTTTAAAATTAATAAAATGGAACAATTATACTGTATTATAGTAAAAAGTTATATGAATGTAGTCTCTTTCTCTCTGAAAATATCTTATTGTATATAAACCACAGAAAACAAAACCACAGATGGGGGAGGCTATTGTATTTGGAAAGTAGAATTGAAAGATATGATTGAATGAAGGAAAAGGGTGGAATCCAAGATTAGGCCCAGGTTTCTGCAGATAGGTGTGGAGATAAGAGAAGAAGAGATTGCAGTTGAGGTAAGTCATATGAGGAAGTTAGAAGAGAGATGGTCTGGCTGTGAATTTAGGAGTCATCAAAGGATGACTGAAGCTTTGGATATAAGTAAGAATGCTATGGGGAAAGCACGTATGGAATCCTGAGAAACACCAACATTTAAAGAATAGGCAGAGAAGGGGAAACCTACAAAGGAGCCCTATAAGAGTGCTTAGAGAGGAAGGGGGGAATTTAGGAATCTAAGGGTAGAGACCTCTTCAAGAAGAGTTAACATAAGAAATGCTGTTCTAAGGGGGCAAAGTAACTCCCGCCCTTTGAGATAAAAGAGTTTTTTTAAAGTCCTTTTTAACAAAGAAAATTTTATGCCGATTCCTTTAGTTCTTCTCCCAAAGATTTGCCATTAAAGGAAAAACCCATTTCATTTGGCAAAATAGATTTTCTTTTCTTTTTTTTTTTTGAGACTGAGTCGGGCTCTATCACCCAGTCTGGGGTACATTGGCGCCATCTTGACTCCCTACAACATCTGCAACTTCCGCCTCCAAGGTTCAAATAATTATTGTGCCTCATTCTCCTGAGTAGCTAGGTATACCCAGCTAATTTTTGTATTTTTAGTAGAGATAGGATTTCATCATATTGGGCTCATCTTGAACTCCTGGCCTCATGTGATCTGCCCTCCTTGAGTCCCAGAGTGCTGGGATTACAGGCATGAGCCACCATGCCCAGCCAGAATTTTTAAATGCTGTAATTTTCAGTTAGACTTCTGAGGCTCTGACATGATTGCTTAAGGATTAGAAATCCATATGTACTAAATCGCTATACATTGAATAAATAATATTTTTAAAATGTAGATGTGGTTATGATTTTAATAGTTTTAAAAATCATCAGAAAATATGCTTGAGTTTGGATATTTTGTGTTTTCTTTGATCAATAGAGACCAAAGTTATCTTGCAGTCATTTGAGTGTCTTTGAAATGTTTTGACTTCCTAAAGCATTTTTACTATTTTTTTTATGACCCTCTTGTCCCAGATGGTCATTTGATGATTATATTCACTTTATGATACTTCACTGAGATGTGCACTGTTGTGTATGTTTGTAGTATCTGAATAGAAAGTTGGAGGTTTTTTTGTTTTTTGTTTTTTTGAAGTAGATTGTGAGGGACTGAGTCCTCATAATCGTAAAAGAAGAACTGCATTAAGTCAATATTTCTTATACGCCAAATGACAAGAACATTACCCCATACCTCCTACCCTTCCAGTATGGTTCCAGGTTATAATGGGAATAGGATGATGCTGCTAGACAATTTTTAATGGACTAATGATAACTTGGGGTTATCAGTTTAACTGGGAAGATTTCACCAATTGTTTGTGTGTCTTATTTTATATATTTTAACATTTAAGAAATTCTAAACAAAAGCCTACCTCTTTTTTTTATCATAATACAAAAGAATATCTTCTTGTATTATAATACAAAGCTATCATTCCACTTATTGTCCACTTACTTGGTTCATCGCAGCAGAAACATGTTGATTGTTTATATTTTGCTGTTCTTTGTATGTTTATCTTCTGATGCAGCTGAGGTTCTGCTGTTATGGGAATCACTTGGGGGAATTATTAAACATGTATATTCCAAGGCTCCACTGAAGACCTACTGAGAAGTAATTATGGGCATGGAGTCCTGGGAATTTTCATTGTAAGAAGTCCTCCAGACAATTCCCCAGGTGATTGATGGCCATTATTCTGCCATCTAGCCAGACTATCAAGCATCAGCTCAACTTTTCTTTCCCCATGAAATAATTACCCTTGCTTAGGAAGATCCCCCTCTGAATGTCTAGATAGCTCTTCTCTACCTTTTTACTTACCTCATTGCAGTTTTATATCTCTGTTGTCTCTGTCATAAGTCCCAACTCTGCTACTACAAAAGAAACCCTAGATAATATAGATGAATGAGCATTACTGTTTTCCAGTAAAACTTTATGGACACGAAACTTTAATTTCAAGTAATTCCTACATGTCATATTATTACTTTTATTCTTTCCAGCCATTTAAAAATGAAATTCTTAGCTCACAGGCTGTACAAAAGTAGGCAGCAGACTAGATTTGGCCTACGGGCCACCGTTTTGCCAATCCCTGCCCTAGACTATTATCCCAACACAATATTGGTCAATATGCAGTAAGTAAATATATGAGTACTGAGTGAATTAATTGTAACACTCGTGATTTTACACAGAGCATATATATGTATACACATATATATATATATATATATATATATAACCTAATATACTGACTGGTTTGTAAATATGTGTTCAATAAATGTTTATTAGATCCATCTTCAACCTCCGGTTAGTACCAGAGTTATTAGAGTTTTCTGTTTATTTAAACCAACTGCTTTTTCCCCCTGTGTGTTGGCATAGGAAGGCCCTAACAGTCTCATTAAAGAAGAAGAGTTCTTTGATGCCGTTGAAGCTGCTCTTGACAGACAAGATAAAATAGAAGAACAGGTATTTATATTTTCAATATCTATTATTGAAAATTCTAAGCTGAAATTTATTTTAACACTCTAGGCATTCCTTGACTTATATTATTTCATGTAAATAGAATTTGAAAATTCTGAACTTAATAACCTAGAAACTTAACTGTGAATACATTGAGTCACATATGTAAAATAATATTTATAAGTCAGTTCCTTTATATGTGAATTTCCAAGCTACAGAAAGAAGACCATGATTGTTTAAAGGAACCATGCATAATTAATATGAACTTAAATAGAAATGTTTTTTCTGCTTATTTCCCTTTCAGTGTCCAGCTTGAACCATTCTTTTAATATAAAGCATATATTTATTCTAAGTAAAAAGCTTCTTTGAATTTGTCTTCACCAAGTACAATATGGAAAGGAAGATGACAAAAACTTAAACGTTTTCATCTATATTAGTATCATTGTTTTTATTAACCCCATTATTGCTTTTCCTGCCTTGATCTTCAGTTTTTCCCTTTTACTTTGTTCAGTATTTTGTCATAATTATTGAATTTATAGCCATTGTACACAGCTGCTGTGGAAATTGAAGAAAAGTATTTCTTAAACTCATTAGCTTCAAGATTAATTTGATACTTTGTCTTCTTTAATTTGGCAACAATACAGTTACTGTATGTTACCACTAGGTGGTACTTAAGGATGTTTTGTTATTTCCTCCCCTTGTTTAAGTTATACTACTTATGGTGGAAACTTAACCTTTTATGGGGTGGGGGAGGCAAGTATTAATACACTGTGGCTACAGAGTATCTTGCCAAATAATCATGTGTCAGTTTTATACTATGAATGAATTTGCATAGAAAAGTTGGCTTGTTCATTTCCTGTCATTGCTAAGGCAGTCGTAGCTATTTTGCCTTTATATCGGTCTACGTAGCTACAGGTAAATCACCTGCAGTAGTAACTGCTTCTCATGTTTAGCTTTCATTATTTTTTTTTAAATTATTGATAAAAAGTTTATGTCACATTAATTTGTAAAGCTTATTGCTCATTTTTTTATACCCGAAAGATGCTATGCACCACTCAAGAAGAGTGGGAACTTTCAGTTCCTAAATGGGCTCTACTTTTGGAATCCTAAAGTACTACCTGAAATAGCTTTATTTGTTTGTTTCCCTTCATTTTTTGTCTAGATTTGCTGTTTTGGGAAAAAGTAGTGAACTGTGAGGCAAGACACCTGAGTTTTACTCTTAATTTTACCTCTAACTAACTTTGTAGCTATGAACTTATCACTGAACTGTCTGGGCCTTGGTTTTCTAATCTGTGAAACAAGGTAGACAAGATGATTGAAAACATCTTTTCTCTCTAAAATGCTATTCTACTGAATATCAGTACAGTGGTTGAGTTGGGTTTGAGAGAATTGAAACCTGTAAGCTTTAGAAAAAGAAATATTCATGGGTCATCTAATCATTTAATTTCTTTCTATTCTTAACACTATAGTAGATGCTCTGCAAAATAGTCATTGAACAGACCATTGTTCTTCTTGCCTAATAGCTAGGCACGTTGATATGACAAAGATTCAGTGTGGTGTAGTACTCTATAGAGTAGTAAGCTTCAGTAATCCATAAAATCAGTTCCATAGATTTAGATCATTTCTCTCTTCAGAGCTCTCAACAACATGCCCATTAAATAGACATTCTCCAAGTGACATTCATATCACACATTTTTTTAGTTTACATTATTTGCAAACATAGGGAACTGGTGCATGAGAAATGAGATCTTAGCAGTTGGTTGAAATAAATGAGAACAACTGAGGCAAACTAAAGACGAAGAAGGAGGTCAAGTGTCAGCTTAACAGGAGTAGGATGATGAAATGAAGGGCAGAATACCTTCATGGAGAGGAGGCAGAGAGATATATGTGACATGTTCTTAGGAACATAACTGAAGCAAACAGTGGTATTATTTCTAATTATAGATAAATCTATGGGTGAGCCCTCCAGGGGCCTGATAAGGTAGAATGATTGGAATGATTTGGCCAGGGTTTGGATAGGAGAAATTGGCAGCAGTGTTAAGATTGACCCATGATAAATCATGCTATGCAGGTAGGAGGGAGTCTGACTAGAAGCAAAATCAAAGAACTTATCCCTCGCCTAACATAATATCTGTGGAGTCAGAAAAAAGAGATTGAATTGGAATATCTGAGGCAAGTATCAGGATTTGCCATGTCTGTGGAGTAGTTTCATAATTCTAATGATTGTAAGCACTAAGGCATTAACTGAACATATTGGTAGTTCCAGATTATATTATCCATTTTTCAGTTGCAAAATACGCTTTAAAACCTTCCCATCTTACCATTATATGTTTTTTTAGTCACAGAGTGAAAAGGTGAGATTACATTGGCCTACATCCTTGCCATCTGGAGATGCCTTTTCTTCTGTGGGGACACATAGGTTTGTCCAAAAGGTAAGCTAATGTCAGAGTTTACTAAAAGTACACCTTGTATTGTTCTTCACTGTTGGTGGAAATACCGTTTTTTGTTGTTGGGCGGGGGGGAGATGGAGTCTTGCTTTGTTGCCAGGCTGCAGTGCAGTGGCACGATCTTGGCACCCTGCAACCTCTGCCTCCTGCGTTCAAGTGATTCTCGTGCCTCAGCCTCCTGAGTAGCTGGGATTACAGGCACACACCACCACACCCAGCTAATTTTTGTATTTTAGTAGAGACAGGGTTTCACCATGTTCGCCAGGATGGTCCCGATCTCCTGACCTTGTGATCCACCCACCTTGGCCTCCCAAAGTGCTGGGATCACAGGCGTGAGCCACCGCACCCAGCCGGAAATACCTTGTAGTATAAGTTTTCTCTCCTTTTCATGAATTTAAGTAATGAGATTGTTTTTGCTTTTATATGTTGTATTCCATATTCGTCCTCTAAAACAGTTAGAAATCTTGTTCTGAACATAATGTTCTTTCATTTTTATTTAAGGGGAAAGTGGGTGGTGGGCAAATAAGGAGTGGCTAGTCCAAAATAGTTAAACAGAAGTATTTGCAGTTATACTAATCCTATTTCTTCTTTGGTATTAAATGGTATTAGTTGAAGCACTACATTCTTTTTGGAATGATTTTGGAACATAATACATAATAGGTGCATGAAGTCAGCAGTTGCTGCTGTGCTTGTTTCATATAGTGCTTTGTTTTCTCTTCCCTTTATCTTGTGTTTGGAAGTTGGTACTGAATGCTCTGTTGGGCCTTTGTTCTGATTACTTGGTTTTTTCTTTGTCTGTCTCTGGTAGCCCTATAGTCGCTCTTCCTCCATGTCTTCCATTGATCTAGTCAGTGCCTCTGATGATGTTCACAGATTCAGCTCCCAGGTACTGTATGAATGTATAGAGTGGACTTGAGTCTTTCTGTGCTATATTTCAGCCTGCTTTCCCAGTTCCTAGAAATCTTTTGGTTAGGCCACTGATTTTAAATAGTAATTTTAAATGGTAACATTAAGCATTAAAAAGGTTTTCATTGTCTACTAAATAATTTCTCTGTCAGGCTTGCACGTGTCCTTTACTATTCACAGCCTGGAATTTTGTCATATAGGAGGTACTCCAGAAAGATTTTCAAACTGAATTGAAACAAATAGAAGATACTGGATTTTATATATCATGTAATATCTGTTTCTTCAGACAGCATTTAGCAGTTTTGATGGACATGGTGTATATGATACATTATAGCAGAAAAGCAGATTTCAGCACTCTCACTTTTAATCTGATTTAAAGTACTTCCAAATTATATTTAGCAAGGAAATTACTTTTTAATAATGTTTCATTTCCATTATAATACTAAGATCCATTGAGCAGATTGCATTTTCCTTATGCAAATTACCTTTGGGTATTATAAATGAATATTTCTGTTTATATGCTAAAGCTATGGAAATTTGTTTTAAGTTTTTAGCATTGGTAAGAGTTTAGGAATTTAAGACAGGAAGCTGAATGCTTGCAGTCTCTACCCTCAAAATAAAATCAAATTGCCATTGGATAAATTTTTTCTTTTTTTTTTTTTTTTTTGGTATCAGCGTTAGTTTTTTTAAACATTTTCTTAATCTTCACATTTTTGCCATTCAACTTTGTATCTTTCTGGTGAATGCATTTTATTGGATTAGATTATATTATGTTAATCTTATATTAAGAACCTGAGCTCTGTAGTCAGAATGACTAAGTTTAAATCCTGGTTAGCTGTATGATCCCGGCATTTTCTAACTTTTTGTGCTTCATTTTTGTGATTTAGCTAGAGCCTGACACATAGTAAGTGCTCAATAAGTGTGACCTTTTATTGGCATTATAACATGATTTCTTTGAGCTAATAAAAGTTATCTACATCATTGTATTTTTCCTCTATGAGAGTATTCCTGTAAAAGTTTGTAAAAGTCATAGTTTAAAGCAGATTTCAATTATTTTTACATATATAAAGTTTATGTTTTTAACCTGCAATAGAGAAGAATATTAAGACTTACTGGTTTTTTCTGACTTGTGCAGCTTTTTTCTCCTTGAATACTTTTAAGAAAAAGATTTAGCAATTGTGGATGAGAAATCATTCATAACCAAATATACTACAGTTTTGTTTTTTTTTTACCTTTTGCTTATCCATCTGTGCATTTTTCTAATAAAAGAGATTCATATTCATAATCTGTGACAAAACTATGTAATACTAGGAGACTTTGGTTTATTCTACTAAGCTTCACGTGGCTTTAAAATAATATCACAGACTAACCAAAAATGTAGGAATACACAGGCTATTAATGAAAGAAAATACAGTGTCAGCAAGAAAAGAATGTAAGCCAGTGATAGAGAATGCCTAAGAATTAGGAGTTCAGAACCCAAACCAGGGCCCTCGCTGTAGAGCAGCTGAATTGCCTTTAAGTACAGGTAACTATATCACTGAGAAGCAGGTGCCTATATTACAAGATTTTGCTGAATTACAGCTTACTTCTTCATATATTAATAATTTTTTGTAAAACTGATGTATATAAGTTGAGAGAAATCTTGCTGCAGACTTTTTTCTAATATATGGTGCTCATGATTGATCAGATCTTGTTTTAGCTTTTGATTATATACTGTTTTGTATGCCAGAAAAGGTAAAAATGAATAAAATAAGGTCTTCGAGTATTTATTGTCCTTGGTAAAGCATTAATTATCATTAGCAGACATGGGCTCTAGCAATTAACTGTTGTGATTAAACTGTGTACCTTATGTTCGGCAGCACCTTTAAAAGAGATGACTGATTCCCAATTGATGAGATTGCTTCTTTCAGAGGATATTCTACTGCCTTATCACCCATTGTCAAAGGATCTAGCAAATCGATTCTTTATAGTCACGCTTGAGAATATAGCATTGGATGTAGATCCAGAGTCAATATTAGCTGAGAAACATTGTGTTACCTGGAAAACTCTTTCAGTTCAACACAGTGTAGAAGTATAGTAGTGACTATACAGTAGTGGCACATTTTACAGTTCTCACATCCTGCGGAGACTTACGAATTAGGCAAAGGTTATTCATTAACATTAGAAACACTTATGTTATATTACATTACATCGTTTGTTTGTTTTTTGTTTTGTTTTGTTTTTTTGAGACAGGCGGAGTTTCTCTCTTGTTGCCCAGGCTGGAGTGCAATGGCATGATCTTGGTTCACTGTAACCTCCACCTCCTGGATTCAAGTGATTCTCCTGCCTCAGCCTCCCGAGTTGCTGGGATTACAGGCACTTGCCACCATGCCTAGCTAATTTTTGGTATTTTTAGTAGGGATGGGGTTTCACCGTGTTGTCCAACCTGGTCTCGAACTCCTGATCTCAGGTGATCCACCTGCCTTGGCCTCCCAAAGTGCTGGGATTACAGGCATGAGCCACTGTGCCCAGCCTACATCATTCTTAATGCATAAGTATACATCAGTTATTCCACAACACTTGAAATAGTCAAGGTAGCCAAATTCTTCATTTTGTAGTACCTTCATAATTAATTCAAAAACTGAGTGAACATTTTTAATCACTTTTAATGATTTGCCAAAATATTATATAAGCCTAATATAATCAATTATTTATTCCAACAAATTTTTAAAGTCCAAATAGATCTAGGTATCATGTCTACTTTCTTGATCATTTATATCAGTTCCCATACAAAAGCTATCTAAACCTCTGGTAATTTTACTTCACTGTTTACATAAGTGTTGGTTCATGACTACCTTGTTCTTGTTGAAATTATGTTGTATAGTCTTGAATTGGTGGAAATAATTAAATGTACCACTGAGAGATGCCCTGAAATAGCTTAAAATAAAATATGTAAATCTAGGAAATTAGTTTCAACAGATGAATCTGTCTGATGGGCTGATATTAGGAATTAAGTCACTCCAAATATGAGAAATTAAAGTTGTAAAGGACTGTAGGTTCTGTGTTTTTGTTGTTGTTTTGTTTTTATTTTTGTTTTTTCATTTTCTTGAGAGTCTGGCTTTGTCACCCAGGCTGGAGTGCAGTGATGCGATGTCAGCCCACTGCAACCTCCAACTCCCAGGTTCAAGCGATTCTCCTATCTCAGCTGGGATTACAGGCGTGTGGTACCACACCTAGCTGATTTTTGTATTTTTTCATAGAGATGGGGTTCACCATGTTGGCCAGGCCAGTCTCAAACTCCTGACCTCATGTGAGCCGCCCGCCTCAACTTCCCAAAGTTCTGGGATTATAGGCATGAGACTCCGCACCCAGCCTTTTTTTCTTTTTTCTTAAGAGACAAGGTCTTACTTGTTGCCCAGGCCGAGTGCAGTGACATGATCATAGCTCTGTAACCTGACCTGTGACCTCCTAGACACAAGTGATCCTCCTGTCTATCAGCCTCCCAAGTAGCTGGGACTGCAGGCATTCCACCACACCCAACTGATTGTTTTTATTTTCTGTAGAGACAGGGTCTTGCTATGTTGCCCAGGCTGACAAATAAGTTCTTGAAATAATGGCTGTAGCCACAAACTAGAAGATAATTTTAAGGTGTACAGAGAATAGAATTTAGATTTATAAGTTGATCTTTTTGGTCCATTTATTTGCATAACACAGTTCACGTTTAAAGATGTCACCTCAGAAATCAAAGGGGAAAGAACATCATCCTGGGTTGAAAAAGAAAGAAATCAGAAATCAAAGGATATACAGTACATTTGCGGCTTAATCAGTGGGGAGCATCATTGCAAAAAAAATCGTTCTGTGTGAAGCTCTTTCCCACTGTGTCCATAGGAGCACATTATTGTGGTGGTGACTATTTCACCCCTCTCCCTTTTTCAGTGTACAAGGGATACATGCTAATTGTAACAGAATTTGAAAGTAGGATAAATTAAAATAATAATTTATTTAATATTTCATTTATCTTCTTATATATATATGACATTTTTTTAAATCAGGCACCTATTGATAAGTACATACACCTTAATATTTGTCTTTTTTATTCTACCAAAGTAGATAACTCTATATAAACTGTTTTATAATCTTTTTTTTTTTTTTTTTTTTTAGACGGAGTTTTGCTCTTGTTTCC